AAATTTTCTTTATGAACACTTTCATCTTTTTTTATCGATTGTACCAGAAAGTTACGTTTCTCTCGTATATAAAGTCGTGTTACGATTGTACAATCATAGTAGTCGTGGAAAGTATACGACTTCTGAACCTCGAGAGGTACTTTAATAATGAAATTACTAGTATTACTATTATACTCAACGACATGCGGACTTGCATTACTTTTTATTACAAATAATGAACTCATCCAGAATCTTTTTCCCGAACTTGAGAGGTTTTTTAAGATACTATCGAAGCTGATCGAGGGAAATCCGGAAATAAGTCATCTGGATTCCAGCATGTCTGGCAAATGATTCAGCCGGTATGTTGGATTCTGGATGAATAATTTTTGAATGAGTTAAAAGAGGATTATAATAATCCGGATTTCATAACACTTCACACGTCTTAGTTTATGTTGCTTAACATGGAAGTCGTTATATTTTGTGTCTGTCGAGAAGGATTAAATTCTAAGCCTATCTATAAGGGTCGGATCGACTATTGAGGAACACTTTCTGAAATAGTACTGCATCTACATTATTTTGAAGCTGTTTTAAGATACCTCAGTTTATTTTAATTTCACAAGTCTTCGATTCAATGCCTTTCTAAGAACGATGGCTTATTCTTTTGTTTTTCATTTATTTGTTCTATGTACAAATAGACTACTAGAAACTCCGCATTTTCGTTTGTTACTTTAACTAACACCAAAACAAGATTAAATTAAGCTTTCGTCTATCGTAAAAATGCTTCCTTCATCGTCTTCGTCAATCGAATTTAAGTTATATGCACCAAACAGTTTATGTGTCTCACTTATTGGTTCATTTTCTGAATGGAGTGAAATCGAAATGCAAAAAACTAAAGATGATGGACAATGGCGCGTCTCTATCGCATTAGAAGATGGTGAATATGAATATAGATTTAGATTACAACCAATCAAAATTAAAGACAAACAAGCAGTGCATTGTGTTGACTTCGAAAATGTGATTGATCCATATTCAAAACGAGTTGATATAAGGAAAAATGTTGGTATTATCAAAATCAAAAATGGCAAAGAAGTTGTTGATGAATATCAATGGAAACATGATAATGAACAAAACAATTTACCACAAAATAAAGATTTAATTATATATGAAATATTTATTGCTGATTTTACAAAAGAAGGTAAGAGCTTTTAAAGAGGAAATAAAAACAGTTCAAAACGAAGTAAATGAGAATAGTGATGTAACTAGAAAATAGAATTAGATGAGGGTGTAGTAGCACGTTAGCCCTCTATAACTTGCTATAACAAAAACAATCTCCAGTTCGGTTTTACACACCAACAACAGATTATTATTATGATAAAATATTTTACAGAAAAACTAATGTACAATGATGAAATAGTAACAGTTAATAATAATATCTAATGGTTGTTGGTGATAATAATGGATAATCGGCTCCTCTTCAATTGACGAAATTTGATGAGGAGAAGGAGCGCAGAACGAAATTATAGTAATGCAAATGAAAACACTAAATTATATTTTATAATTTTAAAAGAATACTAAATATAAACTTAATGTGAGATTTAGTTATAAAATTATAGCAGTAGAATTTCTTCTTCCTTTGTATGATAAACGAAGAAGACGACTGATGATGATGATTCCTCTTCTCTTAAAGGGAGAGAAGAAGAAGTAGAAGAAGTTTAGAATTTTTGAAGAAGAATAAAAACTGATATTTTTGATGAAATCTCGACACGAAGATAATGTGTCTCTACATTTCGCGTCACTATGAAACAAAATAATAATAAAAATCAATTATTAACTGATTTCATTCTCTCTATATAAAGAGCGCATAGAAGAAGTTTCTGAAACTTTTCAAGCGACAGAGAATAAAAGATGAAGTAAGCCAAGATGTTTCAAGATTTTGAGCGAAAGATTGAGGAATCCAAGATCTTGACTTCTTCAGTCAAATGTGATAGACGATAGTTGATTCAAAATAAAAGATAAAATGAAATACATATATGTAGGACGCATTCAGTCGTCATATATTGTGAAAAAAGGAAAAGTTGTATTTATCTATTTTGTATTTTATCGTTATTTTGTAGGAACTAGAGTAGGGTGGGGTAATTAGAACAGTATTTTTTTAAATCTCCGTATTTTCCTTCTCTCTCGGTTAGCTTAAGAAATTTTTGGGCAGTTCCATGGCAAGAGTTGTAAAGGAGGTAATTTTCTATCGAATAGTCATTTTCATTTTTCTGAATTCCATTTCCTTCAGGATCAGGAGCAGAACTGCGGCTGATCGATCTCGACTGTTCTAATTCCCCGCATTAGAGCAGTACGTGTATAGACATAGGCGGGACGGTCCCGATTCCGTCGGGACTGAGATCGGGATCACGCACAAGAAAACTAGTTCCATAAAAGTAAAACTTTCGTTGTAAAATCAAGTTCTAATGCCACTTTTAAACTCGTTTTACTGTCAAACTTTTTCTTGCAAGATCGTAGAAAGCTCTACAACGCAGTACATAGTAAAAACCCGCGTTGCTTTCCGCCAGCGTCGCAAAATTTTTTCTTGTTCCATGGCCAAAATTTTCATCGGAACCAAACAGTTTGGTTCCGATTTCTGTTCCTGTTTTTTGAAAGTCAATAGTACGAACTATGAACTCACCAAATACCCAAACAAAGCAAAGATTCATGAACAGTATCCTTGTTAACCTATAAAAACGTATGTTTCGAGCCGAACATAGGGAAGAGAGGTGTTTCGAATGCCCTACCCTGAAGTAACCTACCACAAAGGTAGTTATCACTTTAATATGATAACAACAACTACGTATATCAGAGTTGGAACCGGACCGGTAAATCGGTATCGGGTTGCCCGACCCGATCCGATTAAACTTTTCAATCTGCCGTTTTTTACCGTTTTTTTACCGATTTATTTTTATAAAACTTGTTTAGGGCTTTCCTTCTTTTCAAATCACTTTTTCAGCAAAAAGAATTTCAAAAAGAAAATTTGCTTTTTTTCGTGTAAATTTGGCATCATCCGGAAATCGCTGTCGCCGCGGATTCTTATACATTAAAGTGTTAAAGTATAAATGTGCATAATTGAGGGTGAGGACATGAGGGTGGAGCACTCACTTCTTCACCCACTTCACTCTCACTTCTCCAACCTCACCCTCACTCGCCGCGAATTCGTATATGTTAAAGTGTTAACACTTTAACGCTGAATCCGCAGCGATGGCGATTTCCGGATGTTATGGTAAATTTGAATAGCAGAAACAAAACTGACTTTTACTTTCCCCTAATTAGGTATGCACCAGTTACAGTTTTTTACCAGTTAACTGTAACTGTCATAACAGTTATAACTGTAACTGTCGTAACTGTATAACTGTAAAACTGTAACTGTCATAACTGTAACTGTCAAAACTGTAACTGCTCATAACTGTAGACAAATATTCTAGAGTGAATTAGTCTTCTACGATTTGCATACATTTTA